TGAAAAAAATATAGGTCTTTCAACCACAATCTGGGGAAACTCAAACCTTCAAGCTATAATTTTAAAGGTGTAAAAGCACCATATTTTCAACTTGTTAGATTAGCAATAGGTCTCCCCAGGTTAAATGGAGATTATTCTCAAATAATGTTGAGAATTTTGGTTAAACGTGCATTCTCAGAACATAAGCAGAGTTAGGAGATATCAGTTTCCAAAGACACTATAACACAGAGAAAGTAAAATACAGTGGTGCCTCACAAGACAATTAAAATTCATTCTGCGAAAATCGTCGTCTTGTGAAAAAAATCGTCTTGCGAGGTTCCCATACGGAACCTCTCAAGACGAATAAAATTTATTCATCTTGCAAAGCATCGGTCTCGGAAAAAAATCTTGCGAAGCATGGTCATAGAAAAAAACGTCTTGCGAAGCACCATAGGGATCGCAAAAAACAATCGTCTTGTGGGTTTTTCACCCCGCGAGGCAATCGTTTGCGAGGCACCACTGTACCAACTTAGTCTATTAACATATACACAGAGAGAATAGACATTCATCAGGCAGCATAACATGACATGGTACAATACATACTGTAACATTGAAAAAAGTGACCTGACTTACAGCAGACGAAATGTTCTCTTTACGCATGACTTATATAGATTCTTGGGACCAATCAGAAAATATATTACTTCATTTTCTACTTACATAAGATTACATCATGTATAACAGCTGTACAACATTAAGTTTCAAATCTTGGTACCCACACCTGAATACAATCAGTACATGACTCAGGTAAAATCAGCCATTTTACTTTCACTATACAACATTTATATTTAATACATATTCACATCAAAATCTCAACAAATAAGAGTAGGATTGTAAACCAAAATGTTTTGAAGAACATAAGGAGGATTTCCAAAGAAGTCCTGTGTCATATTCATTTTGTTTCACATTTATACAGGTGTACTTATGTTGTTTATCTAAATTCAAATATGAGGAGGGGGGCGTATATATAAAAACCATTTTGCTGAAGAAACATTCACTGGAAAATATGATTGTATCTAAGGTTGCCCTACCTTAGATAAGGTTGCCCTACCTTGAGATTTCAGAATCAAAACCTGAGTTGGAGAGGCTGGTAAAAGCCTCTTACACCTGTAAAATAGGAAACATACATAAGACAATGACACAGACACCTTGATTTTCCTGGAATACCTCCAAAGTGTATATTATGCACACAGCACATATGCAGACACTATTACACAGAGCTCAGTTGGGAGTCGGGAAGGATAATTTGGATGAGGGGACAAAAGGAATGCTTATTAAATTTGTGGATGGCACAAAATTGGGTGGAATAGCTGATACCCTGGAAGACTGAAACAAAATTCGAAAATAGCTTGACAGGCTTGAATAATAGGATGAAAACAACAGAATGAAATTTAACAAGGAAAAGTGCAAAATTATAAACCTGTACGTGGGGGTGGGTGCGTACTGAATGCACAGTTACAAGATGGGAAATATTTGGCCCAGTCATCCTTCAAGTGAGAAGAATTTTGGAACTGTTGTCAGTCATAAACTGAATGAGAGCCAACAGTGCAATATTGCTGCAAAAAAAAAGCAAATGCTATTTTAGGTTGTATCAAGAGAAGTATAGTGCATCATTAGTGTATTGAATCATTAAGTTAGAAGTTGAAATAAAATTAAATAAATAAACAAATAAATAAATGTTTGCTGAGAAAACTCCTAAAGTGATATTAATTGCGGTACATCTGAGGAAATACTGTATATCTTGACCTGTCTTCTGTGCTTTAGCCAACACACTGCTGGGATGAAACCCTTCCCAAACTGGAATTCAGCCCTTGCATCCAGATGTTCTAGGAAATTTTCAAAGGGTTCATTGAATGGTTGTTGTAGGTTTTCCGGGCTGCTTGGCTGTGTTCTGAAGGTTTTTCTTCCTAACGTTTCACCAGTCTCTGTGGCTGGCATTCATGGAATAACTGATGAAATGATAGAAGGAGTTCCTCCTACATTAGCAGAAGGGGATACAATTGAAGAGTAACCAGAACTTGGAAAATATACATTAGAGGGTAGCAGAAGAATTTTGTTTAAAAAGTAACTTTTCTTAACCACTATACACCTGAGATCTAGTCAAGAGGAATATTTGGGTATTCATCAATTGTTACCACGAAGAAAGTGTGTCTAGATTGAACATTGGGCCCTATCCAAAAAGATGCAGTTCAGTGGCGGGAAAAGTAATTTTATTTTTTTATTTATTTTTTTGATTTATACCCCGCCTATCTTGACTACTCGTAAGATCCTGCACTTAGGCAGGAGAAACCAGATGCAGAGGTACAGGATAGGTGGTACCTGGCTCAAAAGTATTACCTCTGGGAGGGATTTAGGTGTCCTGGTGGACCACTGCCTAAGGATGAGTCAGCAGTGTGCTGCAGCTACCAAGAAAGCCAACACAGCCCTAGGCTGCATCAAGAGGGGGATAGCATCAAGATCACAGGAAGTGATAGTACCACTCTGTACTGCATTGGTGAGGCCACACTTGGAGTGCTGTGGCCAGTTCTGGTCACCACAATACAAAAAAGATGCTGAGGCCCCGGAAGGGGTGCAGAGAAGAGCAACAAAGATGATAAGGGGCCTAGAAACTAAATCCTATGAAGAATAACTAAAAGAACTAGGTATGTTTAGCTTAATGAAGACTGTGGGGAGATATGATAGCAGTCTTCCAATATCTGAAGGGTTGCCACAGGGAAGAGAGTATCAATTTATTCTCCATTGTGCTTGAGGGGAGGACAAGAACCAATGGGTGGAAACTCGTCAGAGGGAGATCCAACCTGGAAATAAGGAGGAATTTCCTGAAGTGAGAACCATTAAGTAGTGGAACAGCTTGCCTCCCGATGTCCAGGATGGTATGAGATTCGGGATGGTATGAGGTCTTCCGTCTTGGGCAGAGGGTTGGATTAGAAGACCTCCAAGCTCCCTTCCAACCCTCTGACAATTCTATGATTCTATTTTATGATTTCCAAAATGGGATCCATCTTAAACACTGTGTGGGCAGCAGGGCCCCATACAACTCAGGTGGAGAGAATATATGTACTGCGATAAACAGATTGACAGATGTAGCAAAATCTCTTGAGCCAGTCTTTCACTTTAAAAACTTCAAATTGCAGAAAAAATCACTCCTTGTTTCCAAGCTTTAGAAGTTATTTTGGTCTTGGTCTTTTGCTCCTATATGTCCTAAAACCATAATTTTGGATCTTCTCTATAGATTTATTTAATTTATCACATGTCACACCAATGTTTAAAAAAGGAAGAAGGTGGGACCCGGAAACTACAGGCCATCTGTTCCAGTGGAGATGGCGGAAAGCCTCATCCAAGATAAAATCTTAAAACACATAGAAGAACAAGCTTTGCTGAGGGAAAATCAACATGGCTCCATTGTGCTTGACTTAATGGTAAGTCTTGCCTCACAAACTTTTTAGAATTCTTTGAAAAGGTCAACAGGCATGTGGATGCAGGTGAACCAGTGGATATTGTCTATCTAGATTTTCAGAAGGCATTTGACATGGTCCCTCACCAAAGGCTGCAGAGAAAACTCCACAGTCAGGGCATAAGAGGGCAGGTTCTCTTATGGATTGAGAATTGGTTGAGAACCAGGAAACAGTGAGTAGGTGTCAATGGATAATTTTCACAATGGAAAGAGGTGAAGAGCGGTGTGGCCCAGCAATCTGTCCTGGGACTGGTGCTTTTCAACTTGTTCCTAAATTACCTGGAGACAGTTATCAGATGATGGGTTCTGAGCTGTCCACGATCCGCGACAGATCAAGAAAGTGATCTTGGTGTGCTGGTGGACAGCTTGATGAAAGTGTCAACCCAGTGTGCGGCAGCAGTGAAGAAGGCCAATTCCATGCTAGGTATCATTAAAAAGAGGATTGGAAATCGAACAGCCAACATTATAATGCCATTGTACAAAATGCTGGTAAGGCTGCACCTGGAGTATTGCATAGTTCTGGTTGCTGTACCTAAAAACAACAACAACAAACCCATAGTGGAACTGGAAAAGGTGCAGAAGAGAGTGACTAAAATGAGGACTGGGCTGGGGGTGCGGGGGACATGAATTGAGAGCCTAAAATTATTCAGGGGGTGGATAAAGTGGATAGAGGGAAGTTCTGTCCTGTTTCCCGCAATATGAGAACCAGGGGACATCCACTCCAATTGAGTGTTGGGAGAGTGAGAACAGACCAAAAGAAAATATTTCTTGACCCAGCGTGTTGTTAGTCTGTGGAACCCCTTGTCACAGGATGTGGTGATGGCATCTGTCCTAGATGCCTTTAAAAAGGGATTGGACAGATTTCTGGAGGAAAACTCCATTGCAAATTACAAGCCATGATGGGGATATACAGGAAGGGACCTCCAAATGTCACATGCAGGGGAGAAGTATCGGGAGACAGGTATCTACTTGTGTGCTCCCAGAGGCATCTGGTGGGGTCACTGTGAGATACAGGAAGTTGGACTAGATGGGCCCTTGGCCTGATCCAGCGGGGCTCTTCTTATGTTCTTAACTTTGGCAAAGGCATTTCAATATCTTGAGATCTCTTAGGCAAAGAGAGAACATAAAATATATCCAAGCTGGCTGAATATCACAGATGCAAAGGTCTTAACATATCTGTAGAGAAGAAAAGAAAATCAGTAACATGCATGGAATCAGCTCATGCACCAGAAATAAAACCTCAACCCCCAATTATGGTTTTCTTCCATATGATTTTTCTTACCATCTCTCCATCCCACCATTAAAATAACAGTATCCACTGAACCTGGATATATGCAAGTAAACAAAAAAATTATAGAACACCATAAGTCTCCAGTGACCACCACTGACAAAAATTAACAGTGGCACTTTGAAAATGGGAGGAGGGGACCTAACAACATTCACTTCCGCAGACGGTTTCTGTCGGGATCTGCAACATGAGAGGAAGTAGGGGTCTTGCAGATGAAATGGAACTCCTCTTGTTTCATGTGAAGAGCAGGAGAACCCAAAGGCAGCCTAAAGCCTTTAAAAACAGTCATCATCTTCCATTAAGGGTCTTTCTTTTCATCAATTTCTTGCTTTTCCTCCTCTGATTTCGATTTCCTACTACTTGGGGACGGCTGCTGAGAGAAGAAAGGCTTTTTGAGTACCTTTGTGAGTATACAGTGGAAGAATCAGGGATTCAAAGCAGTCCCTTCTCTCTCTCGGCTGTTCTGCTGCAGATGCATCTTTCATTTCTTTTGCAGCTGGAGCCTGCGATACCATCGGAGTCCAAATATGCACAGCTTCCACCTCCACGAATTTGGAACCTGAGGGTAACAAAATGGAGTAGTCCAGAGAAATGATGGCCAAAATGACGTGTAATAGAGTCAACTAAAGGTCAACAATCTGACTGCAGAGGAACATTGCAGTTCCTTCCAATATTCTTTTTCATCTTTCTCCTGGGAAACAGAGTTGTTCCCTCTTCGTGATCCAGGTCCTATCTGCTCTAGGTTAGTTCACACCCAACACTTTAAGGACAATAAATGCTTCCTTTACAAAAACAACAACAACAACAAATGCCCATAAATTTAAAAGTAACTGCTTTCTTCCATATCGAAATAATAAAAACATCCAGTTCACTGACACACAGACACTAACACACACCACATACCCCTATGGGAGTGGTCCACTGGTCCAGATAGGCAGGGTATAAATCAAATAAATAAATAAATAAATATTAATGGATTGTACAAGGAAAATAAGTTTGCAACATTCCAAAAACAACAGAACCCACATTCAGGTTTCACCTTTTTCAGCATTTCTGTTTATTTTTGCCCCCAGTTTTAACTTTCATGTGTTTCTTGAGACATAACAGGACAGAGTCTTACCGTTCATCAAAAATGGTACCGTTGACCCATCTCCAGGGCTTATCTGGATAATGCTTTCGGAGACCAAGCCAGTGGTCAGTGGGTCCTTTGTAGCGTAGCATGAAACTCTGGAGAAAGAAAATAAATTTCTTTAGGAGATGGGTACACATCACCAACTCCAGTTTTAGTGCCCCCAAATGGATGCTTAAGCTACTATTCAGAGCTACTACATTTTACATTTTTTTCTCGTTTATGGAGTTCCCTCTCCATTTTTTGAAACACTAGCTGTTTGGCAGTAATATAAAATACAACACACAAATGTATATTGAGAAAGTAGATACAGTATATTCTGCAAGAGCAATGGCTTATCAAAACAAATGCATGCAGTAGCTAAAAAACATAAATTCATCTAGAAATACAAGCTCACTGCATTTCAAAAATGAAACATTTAGAATGTTAGTACAAAGTGGTCCTAAAATGTTCAATGAGGAACAGATTTCTAAATAAGATATTAAGAATAGGGAGGTAACTAGAAATAGTATTTGAGCTGGATAAAAACATTGGCAAAGCAGCTACCATGCTCTCTAGACTCACAAAGAGAATATGGCTTAATAAGAAGCTGACTGCATATACCAAGATCCAGGTCTATAGAGCCTGTGTCCTGAGTACACTCCTGTACTGCAGTGAGTCCTGGACCCTTTGTGCATGGCAGGAGAGGAAGCTGAACACCTTCCATATGCATTGTCTCTGATGCAATTTTGGTATCACCTGGTAGGACAAAGTTCCAAATAGAGTAGTCCTAGAATGAGCTGGAATTGTTAGCACGTACACATTACTGAAACAACGACATCTACATTGGCTTGGGCATGTCATGAGAATGGCTGACGGTCGGATTCCCAAAGCTCTCCTGTATGGAGAATTGGTGCAGGGAAATCGTCCCAGAGGGAGACCACAGCTGTGATACAAGGATATCTACAAGCGGGATCTGAAGGCCTTAGGAATGGACCTCAACAGATGGGAACCCCTGACATTTGAGTGTTCAGCCTGGAGGCAGGTGGTGCATCACGGCCTCTCCCAATTTGAAGAGACTCTTGTCCAGCAGGCCGAGGCAAAGAGGCAGTCCCGAAAGCAGCAAAATCAGGGAGCTAGACAGGGGACAGATTGTATTAGTCTTCAGTGTGGAAGGGGTTGTCACTCTCAAACTGGCCTTCTCAGCCACACTAGACACTGTTCAAGACCTCTATTCAGAGCATGTTACCATAGTCTCTTGAGATTGAGGGATGCCATTGTTATCAATTTTGTACCTCCTGAACCTGGCAACAGAACAGACCTCATCTTGTATTAGGAATAGTATCTTTGCAAGGACTGTGATGTGTTTGTAAGGTTGTGAAGATTGAAAATATTGCACATGTAAAGGAATGTAATATTGGCTTGTAGAGTGTCGACTTGAATTGTTACCATGAAGAACAATGCTATTAGAATACTATGACAGGGTTATATCAAATTGGTGCTCTCCCAGATTTCTCTACAAACATTCTGCAGAAGTACCAGTTTAGAGGTTAAGCAAAGTTCCAACTCAGTTGGCTACTGAGTTGACTACTGAGCCTAGAGTGGTCTTAACCGACTAGATAGGCGGGATATAAATAAAATAAATAAAAATAACAAAATAAAACACTATTTAAGCTGTTTGCTCTCATTGCAATTTGGTAGAGGTACCTGGGAACAAGCGAAGACATAAACAGTTCAGCTTTTCTTTAGGAGTCTGTAGGGGAAGCAAATGCAAAGCAGATTCCCTTAGAAAACAAAAGTATTTTGGTAGGTTAACGACTTCCTTTACCAGATCTCAGATGTTGACAGTTGAGAAGGTAAAACAACAAAATCAGAAAAATATAAAAATATAAAAAAACAGCCAAAACAACATCTTAGGCAAAAACACAATTTTTAAGGAAACAGCATGAGGATACAGCCACAAACAACATTACTGTATGTGGATTTTAATAAAAGTGTCACTCTCATTTTTTCCTCTAAAGAAGCCTGGATATTTATTTCGATGAAGGTGTTGAGAAGCCACACCACAAATTGTACTTCCCCAAAAAAGTTGTTAAACCATGTGAAGTTTGTGTGTCCTTTCTCTGTTATTCCAGGATCGTTTTTAAGCCTTCCATGGTTATTTCAAACAGCGAAATTCAGCATCAGTTTTAAGCCTTTTTCCCCCAGTGCCCTTCTGAATTTTCTTCACCTTGGCTTGGATTACTTTCCCTCTCAGCTCAAAGGGGAAACTAGACTAATAATTTCAGAAAATGAGAGTGACGGTGACTCTTCCACGAGGTTTGGATTTATTGTTGTGTTAGAAAGTCAGATGAAGATGTTGATGAATCAGGCATGATTTTCAAATGAGTCAGGCATGATTACTAAAGCAGTGTTCTGGATTTCTGTTATTTAGAAGCTAAACAGGAAAGTTTCCCATCCATTTCCTGAAGCTTCCTAGAAGCTAAAATTCCATTCAGGGAAATTGTCATCCAGACTCATCCTCCTTTGTTTTTAGCTAAGGTGTGCATTTGTTTGGATAAGCCATTGTTCTTGCAGAATCTATCTACAGTGGGGTCTCTACTTAAGAACGTCTCTACTTAAGAACAATCCAACTTAAGAACAGCTCCATTTGCTAAATTTTGCTTCTACTTGAGAACAGAAATCCAAGATAAGAACAGGAAAAAAAACCTTTCCTGCTCTTTTTTTAACCTTAGGTCATCGTAGGTTAAAAAAAATTCTCCCCCTAGTGGTAGAGTACGTATTAACCAGCTTTGCATTAGTTCCTATGGGAACTAATGCTTCAATGTACGAACGCACCTCTACATAACAAAAAAACCCAGCCAGAACGGATTAATTGGTTTTCAGTCCATTCCTATGGGAAATTTTGCTTCAACTTAAGAACGTTTCAACTTAAGAACACCATTCCAAAACGGATTAAGTTCTTAAGTAGAGGTTCCACTGTAGTTTCTATGGACGGAAAAGAGCAGATACGGATTAAATGGTTTTCAGTGCATTCCTATGGGAAATGCAGATTCAACATAAGAACTTTTCAACTTGAGAATACGGATTAAGTTCTTAAGTAGAGACCCCACTGTTTATATCCATTTAATGACACTCACCATTTCTTCTTGAGAGTCAACCACAGCTAAAGAGGCATTGAGGGAAGAACAATGAGTTTTGCTAGACGTCCAGTTTTTTTCAGCCTCAGCAAAGTAATAGCATCTCCTTTGGTACCCAACCCAGTCATCTGGACAGGGGTTTACTGGCTGGTCATGACAAGCTGGGTGTGTTTCTGGTCCCATCTCTGGCAACAAGAAACATGTAACAACAGTCAGCTTGTAATGCTATTTAGATTTATACTTTTTGATGCGCATATGTAGAGTACTCTTTCTCCCATTAATCTCAGTTGTCATGGCAACAGATGTTTCTCTCACTTCCTGGTTAAATGCTTCCATTTGGCCCTACTTGTGCCTTATATGTTCAGGGCATCAGGTACAGATATGGTGGAAAGCTCTTGTCATCTCAGTGACAAGATCTCTTACTTCTGTGAGGCGGGTTGTTTTTATCTATTGTCTTATAATTTGATGGGAAAGATGCAAGGGATTGGTGTGGCCATCAAGGTGCAACATTCACAGTTATACTGAGGTGATAAAATAATCTGTGTTAACAGTGATCCCCCTGTCCGTACACTCTGGCAGAAAGCCCAAAATGGTGTACACTGAGGCTTTCCATCCATGTCTTGCCCTTTCTGTTGCACCAACAATGGAACGCCCTCCAAGTGACCTCATAATTTCTATTGCTAGCATGATATCAATCACTTCCTCTGGGTAACTCTTGTTCTGAAGAGATCCCTATTCAATAACCAGGCAGCCATTCTGTTTTAGGATGGAATATTGTCCCCTGACTTCAAATCTGTTCCCAAAACTGATACTACAAACAATTTCTGTGGGACAAGCAGAAAGGTAAATCTGGAATTAAACTGATAGAACACAGTGGAGATATTTACTTACTTAATATTAAAACCACACTTAAAATGACGATCATGATGAGAAAAACTGCATTGCATATCAAGCTCACAACTGCCCACAAAGGTGCTCTACGTTTCTCACAATACTGAAACCCTGTAAGGGGAAACAAGGTATTAATGCTGTTTGATTTCAGAAAATCTATTACAGAAACTCATACAATTCACAAAGCACATCTCAGGGCACCGGCTTAAGTCTCAGGGAGTTTGCATGTCTCTCTAGGTCCTCAGTGACACATCTCAGGATCAGCAGCAGTATACAAGGTGAAAATTAGATGTTTGTAAGTGCAGCATCTTTAAAATACCAACTTCCACCCAGTCCCTCCTGCTGCCAGGATTTCCTGGCACAGGATGTGGTTGTTCAAGCGGGTTCGTTGGTCCAAATGACATGATGGGCCCTAATGCATTCGGGATCTCTTTGAGCTATCTGCTTTCACAATCTGTCCTCCCTCCCCTCCCTGTTTTACACACCTATCATTCATGTTTCACTGCTTCCTAATTTATTTATTTTTTCAGTTTTGTACTATGGTGCAAAGTGATAACATTAACCCCCCCCCAAAAAAAACCAGGCTTATATCCCAAATAAACTAAACACAAACAGTAGTAAGGCATGGAGGGGAGGAGACTGACCAAAACACCCATAAGGAAACATCCACGCAGAACCATACTACAAGGGGGTTTCCTTTTTTTTTCTACAACAGTGAAAGTATATTCAGTCAAAGGGAGCCTAGACAAAATCAGGGCTAAATCAAGGCGCTAATCCCAGCTAGAATACATCCACCGAATCAGCAGGATTTACACACATGTTCCTTGACCACTGAGCACCAGATTGAATGGGTTCACTCTAACTGGGACATGCAGCTCAATGTTGACCTCGTTCTCCAAGGCCCATTTAGAGACCGTCAAAGAAGGAATTGTGCATGAATTCTGGGTGGGACATTCCACAAGGATAAAGAAAGACCCTCTCCTGGGTGCCCAATTGTCCATATACCTTATTCGGTCCAGACGCCTAATGGTGTTTTTATAAGGTCTGTGTAATTTGCCACAGATAATTGCAATTAACTGATAAGGCGTTTGGGCTTTTCTCAGTCTCACAACTGATTTGCACAACTGAGACATGCCTCAGGCCCTTGTCAATTAGCCTCAATTAGCCATGGCAACTCATGCAAATCCTTTATGAGTGCCAGCATGGAAGGTATGAGAGGTAGGCCCTTGGGGCCAACCTTAGATCCTGGCCAGGTGTGTACAGGTGCAAGTAATCCATCCAAAACAAGCAAACAACAAACTGGTCCCAAGCAATTCCAAGTCTAGCATTAATGAAAGATATGAATCACAACTCACCACACAATGGAGATTCTCTAATGGTCACCTGTTCGATGGCTTCATTAATTTCTCTGCTGCTTCCATTAACTGCCCCATTCTCTGTTCGATATGAATCCTGAGGAGGACATGGGTCTGTGCTTCTCGCTTCAGATACACACATCTTCTTTCTCTCTCTCTTATCACCCAGAAATATGGATAAGCCTCAGCCCAGACTTTTCAATAAATACAGTTTGAAATGTGTGACGATTTTCAAAGCAGTTCAAAGGGTTGCACACTCAAGTGCAGTTACGCTACTTGATGTGATCTTAGAAAAACTTTTTCAATGCCGCTTAATTATGTGCTTCACAGTGATTCTTTTTCCAGCCAAACTGTGTCTCATGTATATTCCACTCGTCTGCTTTAAAATTGCCTTAGCAACTGTTGTTATGGCCAGCATAAGCAGAGCCTCTTCAAGTATTGAACAGTGTGTCTCTAATTATGTTCGAATGATTTGAACATGAAGTCAAGAGAGCACCAAGCGAATCCCTGTAGAAAGAGATACAGAATATTATCAATAATATCCATTTTTCCACATGTCTGTAATAGCTGTACTGTACAATCTTCCTTCCCTATCCTGTGTCATTTTTCCTTCTACACTGTGTGAAGGATCATAGCTGCCCCGAGTAGACATTGTCTAGAGGGGCGGGGTAAAAATCTAATAAATAAATAAATAAAATAAAATAAAATATTCACATGGCAGAAACCTCCTTGAAAATATTACACACGTAAGAAACTGCAAGAAGTTTGTCAGAATTTTCTGACATTCCATGATTATGGTGGCAACCTAATGTGTGGCTTGGGTATGTCACATCTCAGAGGGGCAGAAAGATCTCACACACACACCACATACACAATTTTGGCTTTGCACTGTGCAAACCCACTATGATACTGCCCACAATCTAACAACACCTGACTAGCTATTAAGGAAAAATGGCAAAGAACATCCCGAGTGTCATTGTCTTTTTAACAAACTCAATTACTACGTACAGGAAAGAAAGCAGACAGGAAGAAAATTAATTGATTTGAACAATGGTGCTAGAGAAGAGCTTTGCAGATATCCCAGACCACCAAAAAGACAGTCCACCCTAAATCAAAGGCTGAACTTTTTCGGGATATAAAAACACCAAAACCGAGGCTGTTGTACTTTGTGAACAGACAAGACTCATTGGAAAAGATAATAATTCTAAGAATTCTAAGAAAAGTTGAAGGCAGCAGGGAATATGAGACGGATTAACTCTACAAAGGAAACCTCAGCCTTAGGTTTACAGGAGCTGAGCAGGGCTGTTTAGAACAGAACATTTCGGAGGTCATTCATTTATAGAGTCACCATAAGTCAGAGGCAACATGATGGCAAATATTAACAACAATGAATTCACAGGTCAAAAAAAGAGAGCAATTTTACTACTATGTCACCTTTACAATATCCTGGAATGAATGATTCCTAATCATCTAAAGGAGGAAAGGATGTGTCAGTCTTTTATGTTTTATGTTTTAACTACAGTTCACAGAATTCTCCCTTCTGAGGATTCCACCTGACAGACAGGCCCCTACAGATACCTAAAGGTGTCTCACTTGCGAGAAAAGCCTAAACAGGAAAGTTCTGGGGCCTAACATAGGCCCAGTTCTACCATGTTCCTGTTCAAAAAGTCAGTGCTGATGTTAGGATTAGAGATGGAGACAAATATAAAAACGGATCGGTTTTTCCGACAAATATAGCAGATTCATTAAATATCTGTCGATCCATATTTGTGGGTTCCAGAGACCCCCACGAATATGAAGGGATTAATATTTACCCGTTTTAATTCGTTCTTTGTATTTAAAAAAACCCAAAACACTATTCTGCCTACCACCCGCTGATCAGCAGCAGAAAGGCAGCCACCACCACCCACAAGCACCCAATACCACAGCCTCCCCCCACCCCTTCCTTTCCCTACCTTAGGCCCCACCCCACCCCCACCAACATCCTCTTACCTTAATCGCTGCTGGCAAGGTCTTCTGGCCTCAAAGTCACACATGTAAAAAGGGAGACTTCCAAACCTGGAAGGCCTTCCCTGCGCACCTTTATGAGGTTCCTGCTCTCCACGCTTCCACCCGATCCTCAACTCCGAGCTTTGCCTGTTCGGATTGAGAAGAAGGCAGGGTCCCCTGGTCCTCAGTTCCTGGGAGGTTTTCTCCAGCCCCAAACCAGGCAGGAAAGGAAGCATTGTGAACTTCTTGCGGTCTCAGAAGTTATCCCGCTGCTCCCACTCTCTTAGAGAAGAGAGGGGCTCCTAGCTTATCTCATCTTGCAGTTGGTAGAAAAGGCCTCCACTGCTTGCCAAAGGTCAGACAACATAAACAGGCTGCAGCCTTGGAGGAAGGGAAAGAAGACCACCTGTCCTCCCCAGGGACTCCTCTTTCTGGAGGGAGGCAGAGAGGCCGCTGTGTTGTGGTTGTATAAGAAAAACAGAGAGGAAACACAAAGTCACGCGCATGCGCCAGGCATCCATCCTGCTCCGCTTGTTTTGTTTTGAATCGAATTGAGGTGACTCAATTTGTGGTGGAGGATTTTCTGTTGAATAATGAACAGTCTTATCATTGGTTTCACTTCATAAGAAGTTTTCTTTCTTGTTCTGTTCTGTCTTGAAGGATGTGACAAGCCACATACTTCCACTTGTGCATCTGTTTTTTCCTCCCACTCCAACACATCTGGTGCCTGGTAGACACTGCTCTGGCCCAGCCTCCCCTCCCTTATTCCCTTCCCTGTATCCTGGTACTGACACCAAAGCAGCATGCCAGAGATGCTTCCAGGAGCAGTGGTGAAGGATGATTGGAGCTCCCGTCCTAAAACATCTGGCGGACCACAGTGGCCCACTCTGCTGTAAGGAGAAATCATTCTCTTTCTCTTTTTCAGAACTCTACCTAGATTTATATACAAGTTTCATACACTGATTTATCAATGCTCAGTATTCAAAACAGTTAATGTACACAACATTCTTCAAACAAATTTTGGCTTTATCCCCTCCCTGATATACAAGACTGACCACATTCTGAGAGCCATTCTCTTTCCAATAATCCAGTAGTTTTTGAGACTGGCTTATAAACTGTCAAACCAACGGGAAATGTGGTCTTCCTCAAAGATACGGGTGAAATAGTTTACTAAAAGATAAAGTATTTTACTTCAACTTTCTTTGCCCTATTGGACTTTTCACCTCTGTTAATCTCTAGTATTTGTTAGCACCTACTTCCTATTTGTTAATTATCACATATGAAGGCAATGTTTATTTCAAAAACCAAGCAGGTGACTGCATGCGTCTTAATTTAAGAACATAAGGAGAGTCCTGCTGGATCAGGCCAAGGGGCCATCTAGTCCAGCTTCCTGTATTTCACAGGGGCCCCACCAGATGCCTCTGGGAGCACACAAGACAAGTAGATACCTGTCTCCCAATACCCCTCCCCTGCATCTGGCATTTGGAGGTACCTTCCCTTTTAAGCCTGGAGATTATACATTCCCATCATGGCTTGTAGCCTGCAGTGGACTTTTCCTCCAGGAATCTGTCCAATCCCCTTTTAAAGACATCTAGGCCAGATGCCACCACCACGTCCTGTGGCAAGGTGTTCCACAGACTAACAATACGCTTCGTAAAGAAATATTTTCTTTGGTCTGTTCTCTCTCCCAACACTCAATTTGAGTGGATGTCCCCTGGTTCTGGTATTATGTGAGAGGGGAAAGAGCTTCCCTCTATCCACTTGACCCATCCCCTGCATTGTTTTAGTTTCAATCTTGTCCTTCCTCAGGTGCCTTTTCTCTAAAGAGCCCCAAACACGATAGCCTTTCCTCATAAGGGAGGTGCCCCAGCCCAGTTCTCATTTTAGTTGCTCTCTTCTGCACCCTTTCCAGTTCCACAATGTGCGGTGACCAGAACTGTATGCAATACTCCAGGTGTGGCTTTACCAGCATTTTGTACAATGGCATTATAATGTTGGCTGTTTCATTCTCAATCCCTTTTTGTTGTTGTTGTTGTTGTTTAGTCGTTTAGTCATGTCCTGTCCAACCATCTCGTCCTCTGTCTTCCCCTTCTCCTCTTGCCTTCACACTTTCCTAACTTCAGGGTCTTTTCCAAGGAGTCTTCTCTCCTCATGAGATGGCCAAAATATTGGAGCCTCAGCTTCAGGATCTGTCCTTCTAGTGAGCACTTGGGGTTTATTTCCTTTTGAATTGATAGGTTTGTTCTCCCTGCAGTCCAGGGAACTCTCAAGAGTCTCCTCCAGCACCATAATTCAAAAACATCAATTCTTTGGCGGGCAGCTTTCTTTATGGTCCAGCTCTCACTTCCATACATCACTACAGGAAAAACCATAGCTTTGACTATTCGGACTTTTGTTGGCAAGGTGATGTCTCTGCTTTTTAAGATGCTGTCTAGGTTTGTCATCTCTTTCCTCCCACGAAGCAGGCGTCTTTTAATTTTGTGGCTGCTGTCACCATCTGCAGTGAACATGGGGCCCAAGAAAGTCAAATCTGTCACTGCCACCATATCTTCCTCTTCTATTTGCCAGGAGGTGATGGGGCCAGTGGCCATGATCTTAGTTTTTTTTTGATGTTGAGCTTCAGTTTTTTGCACTCTCCTCTTTCACCCTTATTACGAGGTTCTTTAATTCCTCCTCACTTTCCAAGGAGTGATCAGAAACAAAACACTTTCTGAGGCCTTTTGTTTCTGATCATGGGGTATTCTTGGCAAAGATACTGGAGTGACATTGCCAGTTCCTACTCCAGGGGGATCGCGTTTAGTCGGAACTCTCCACTATGACCTGTCCGTCTTGGGTGTCCCTGCATGGCATAGCCCATAGCTTCTCTGTCAAGCCCCTTTGCCACGACAAGGCAGCAATCCATGAAGAGGCAATCCATTTTTAAGTGATCCCTATAGCATGGAATTGCCCTTCTTCACTGCTGCCGCATACTGGGTTGACACTTTCATCGCGCTGTCCACCAGCACACCAAGATCTCTTTCGTGATCCATCATGGACAGCTCAGAACCCATCATCTGATAACTAAAGTTTTGATTTTTTCACCCAATCTGAATTACTTTACATTTTCTTATAGTGAAACACATTTGCCGCCCATTCTCCTAGTTTGGAGAGATCCTTCTGAAGCTCTTCACAATCCTTTCTGGTCTTCACCACTTGGAAATGTTTCGTGTTGTTTGCAAACTTGGCCACCTCACTGCGTATCCTTCCCTCCTGGTCATTTTTAAACAGGTTGAAAAGCACCGGTCCCAGGACAGATCAATCAGATTTGCACTTCTTACAGTGTGATTCTGCTCTGAAATACCTGATTTTCTACTCTTTGAAGGAAAATCTGGATTTTTATCATCACCAAAGTGATGCTATTCTTGGGGAGACTTTTGGAAGCTCAAAAATAGCTAGATAGCTGGCCTGCAGCTGGTGGCTGTGTATTGTATATTGTTTCTGCTTTCTTATTTAATTTGTTTATATTTAATTTGTCTATA